TATCTTATCTTATCTTAAATTACATTTTGAAGCTATAATTTAAACCCTGAGCTCAGTTATTTTTATCCACTGCAGCAATGTGGCTCTAGGGACCATTGTGGTCTCAACTGAAAAATAAACAACTGTTATGGTTAACATTTTTTCGATTTTATCAATTTTAGGTCTCAACAACTCTTGTGTGGATTGCCATGAAATTTAGTTCAAACATACATGTTCCCCTCAAGAGGAAAAACGAATGATAGGATGAAACTTTTATTTGACATTAAGAGTTTGTGATCGCATTCACACCTGTATATTGCAGTAATGGCAGCTTGGCTTGTTCTTCAAATGTGTAATCTTTCTAACTTTGACTCCTTATTCTGCCCCAGGTTGGGAATCAATCTCGTCTGTGGCTGGATGGACAAAACAAAAGAATTAAAAAGGAAGTTATTCTTCCTCTTCGTTGCTACCTTTGTCTTCCTCCTCTTCATCACTGTGAGAACACCTAGGATATACAGGTCCACCCCAAAGCCGTGTGGGCCTGCAAAGATTTGCCCCTTCTACATCTCTGAGGAGACCATCACCCCCCTCAACAATACTAAGCACTTACTAGTGTCAGCCTTCATGGACCACAGAGTGAATGGCTTTGATATACGCATCATTGGGTTATTAAGGACAGACTCCATCCAACCTCTTTACTGTCTTTTCTGCTGTGACGGCCACTTATCAACTCCAACTCTAACTCCAACTAAGATTTTACAACACCCGGAAAGCTTTGGTTTTCCCTTCGTCACTACAGATTTCATGTGTCAGATTCCTCAAAACTGCAATGCCACACATGTTACTCTTCTGACTGAGCCAGACAGACAGACGGTATTTAACCAAATTTGGCTTCCTATAAGAAACAAAAAGACTGAGGGGAACAGGGAGAAAAAGTTGAACTTCACAGTCTGCATCTCCAACCTGTTTGGAGACTACAACAATGTGCTTCAGTTTGCACAGACCCTGGAGATGTACAGGTCAGCACAGCAACAATACCACAAATCACACTGTCAAACTAGAAATTTTATTTTATTATTTCCTGCAGTGTGAATGCTGAGAGCGAAACTAATTTCTAAAGCATTGCTGAAATTGCAGAAATGAATTGCCAGATAAATCTCAAAGCACAAACTTACTGTACTGCAGAACATTTGGGAGTTGAGCCACTGTCACTGCAGTACTCACAGGGAGTGTGGACGTGCACTGAAACCACGACACCACTAAACACAACGGCAGGCATCACAGGGCTGCATGAGGTTCAGATGTCAGTTGACGTGTTTTGGTGTACGTGTGTCAGTGCAACCCATATAGCATAACGAAAAAAGTTAGCAACTTAAAAGGTAGTAATATGTCAGTGTTTCTGTAGCTTGCTTCTGCTGTCTTCAAATGGCAGGTTTTTAATGCAATTATTCAGTGCTGTGAGCACCACAGTTTGCTCATCTCCATTTTATTTGGATGAACTCTCAGCAATACATATGTCTAATCCTGGGCTAAATGACATGTTTGTTTTATTTTTTAATTTGGGTGAACCAATCATTTAACGTTAGCCTCATCTCGTCCCAGGCTGATAGGTGTGGACAGAGTGGTGATCTATAACACCAGCTGCGGCCCAGAACTCAACCGCCTGTTGCAGATCTACAGTCAGGAGGGCTTCGTGGAGATGGTTCCTTGGCCCATTCACAAACATCTGAATCCATCTCGAGGCTGGCTCTTCTCAGAGAGCGGTGGGGACGTGCACTACTTTGGACAGATGATCACGCTTAATGAGTGCATTTACAGATCCATGGACCGGTCCCGCTACGTCCTGTTGAACGACATAGATGAGATTATAATGCCATACCAACACAACAACCTGATGTCTGTGATGAACATGCTCCAACAGCAGCATCCAAATGTAGGGTGTTTTTGGCAGGCATTTGAGGAATACAAATATTACATAAATATTCAAATATTTGCTATTTATTAATATGCATATTCTCTTTCCGTCTTTCCATGTTGTGCCCCGTCCTGTAGACGGGGGTGTTCCTCATTGAGAACCATATTTTCCCCAAGATTCATTTTGAGCCAAGTGGGAGGTTTCACCTGCCTCAGTGGAACGGGGTGTCAGGGGTTAATATTCTGGAGCACATCTACAGGGAAGACCCTGACCGAAGTAAATACCACCCGCACAAGATGATAATTCAACCAAGGTATGCTTAATTTGTTAGACTGAAAAAAGTCTTTTTTTAAAACACACCATAGTAAAAGTATAGTCAAATGCTGTTAAACTCACAATAGCCCAAAAAATGCTTAAAGAAATATTGCTACAGGGAAGACATATTGTAGGCTAACCCGGAAGTTGGCATCGCCGTGGTTCCTTCAACAAAAAGACAGTGGGATTTTTCTATTGCATTTTGGATTAATGCAGAAAATATAATTTGTGGTGAACAAAACAATACGATACTTATAAATTTTGTTCAGCAAGATAATCTTAACAAATTAATACCACTTTTATGATTTTTTTAAGTGTAAATGCGATTGCCAGAAGTAAAAAGCTCACGTTATATGGCTACAAATGGACTACACCACATCACAAGACTCCAATGACCTAAATCTTGTTATTAAAATCAGCAAGTTGGAAAGTTTGAGTTAAGAATAGTTTGCAAAAGTGTGAGTATAAACACAACAACGCTGTAAAAGCGGACTACTGAGTAGATAAGTCTCCTTGTTCTGCGTGCTGCTGTTTAATGTCGACTTCTGTAGTCTAATATAGCCACTTGTTTTTTAAAAGAAGTAAAAGCTTATCAATTCACAGGTGCGGTATTTACTGACATACTAGTGAGGGAATATATAGAGATATATTTACAGATCCATTTACAGACCCAAAAAATCCAAGAGTCCAAGTTTCAAGCTTCTAAAATGTGGGGATCTGTGGCTTTTGTTATATATATATAATATATATATATTATATATATATATATTATATAATGTTACGCTCTTCCGATTCATTTGCAATGAACTGTAATTTGCATCAGGCAAGATAAGATAAGAATAAGACATTCCTTTAATAGTCCCACAATGGGAAACTTCCAATACAACACCAAACATGTGGTGTGTTATGGCTGTCCTAAAACTAGAGAGAGTCCACAGTCACAGCCAGTGTGTATATATATATATATTATCCTGTCAGCGTCCATGAAGGAACTGAACCTTAGTCTGAGCATTGGTTAGAGTTTCAGATAAACTGTACTATTACAAAATGTGGAACTGGGATGCAGCCTAGATTTAAACCAACCATATGACAGGAAGTCACATTGAGTGCTAATATTGTTCTTTTACGCTTCATTTGATCCATTGTCTTACCTTTATGAAAGGCTGCTCTGAGCGTCTGAGCTGCTGATAGGTTGATCCTCTCCAGCTAATGAAATAAAAAGAGAAAACACATATTATTACAATCAAAATATAAATATAATATATATATATATATATATATAGTTATAATATATATATATATATATATATATATGGACACGTTGTGGCTATAATGGCTGTGTCACCTAGACTTGAACTTGCAGGGTTTAAAATGCAGCTGTGTCCTAAATTCACCCCGAACTGCTCCATCAAAACGGGCTCAACTTAGCTGGATGTATGTTTACTGCCCCACACAGGCGATTCAAAGGAACGACGGTCACAGAAACTGGATTTACCTGTGAGTTCACTTAAGCAAACATATCAAATATCCTTTGAGGAAATTTGTTAAATAATACAGTGTGTATTTTAACATTTACAGTCTAGTTGCCCTTTTTGTTTGTCACAAAAGTAGATTTTGATCAGTCTAAAACAATAATATATATATATATAATAACTTTAAATTCTACTTCAGAATCAATAATGTCGAATACATTAGTCTACATTAAAACTGTGGTGGTAATCAGTCATACAATATATTTATGTTCACCTGCCTAAATTACAGACTGACCCTCTATAATGATGCATTAATTAATATACGGTTGCCCCTTTCTTTGCTACGTAACACAGCGGATTTAATGGGCAAATTCACTAAAAAAAAAGGTGTCATGAGGGGTTTTACCTCGTTGAAAACGGGGTACATCACGGCGTACAGCGTCATGGATACCATGGAGTTTGTCTCCGCTTCATTCTTCATCTCCTCCATTGTCATCCTCCAGGGAGGAGCAGCTCTTGGTGAAAAGGTGAGGAGGAAATTGAAGCTCACACACACTCACACATACACTCACCCACTCACACACACTCACACACACTCTGAAAACCACACGAGCTCCAGAGTGACAAGAGCCTGGATGCAAAAAATGAAACACAACAGAAGGGTTTGGTGGTCATATTTAACCAGTACAGTATTTTTTTTAATGAGCCTCTCTTATATTTGGTTATTCATAAACATACACAGATCTGATCCTCCGTGTCAGTACTGGGTACCAATCCAGTGTCAGAAAACTCAGCTATAAGTTACATTCGTTGAGTTACGGGTGGCTGCTGACGGCTGACATCAGTCCCTGGGCTCATGTAAAATCCCCACGAGCACATAGTAGTGGGGTGTTAAGATTTTAAATGTACTGGATACGTCGTATCTGCAAATACCAGGAGTTTAAGCTCTGGCATTGGTACTAAAACAGTTGGATCTGTATTTACTTAACAGCTCATTTTACAGTTAAAATATAAACCGTGACAGTGAATCTGCATTACCTAATATCTGAGGCATTTACAGCATTTCATTGTTACTCATTAGCCAACTTATTCGACATATATCAAGATAACACAAGGTCGCTTACGAATGAACAGGATGGGATGACTTATTGGTTAAAATTGGAGGAGGGGAGTGGCACAGTAATATTACCTGGCAAAGCCAATGTGACCAAAAGGCAACTTAAACGTGTAATAATGCAAATTACAAGCAATTGTTTTGACACATTTCTAAGCGTCTAATCTAAAGAGCAAGAACACAGCGCAGCTCAGCTCAGCTAGCCTTTTCAATCAGCTACTAGTGCCTTTCATTACCTGCCCAAAACAATCTACCACATACAGTGCGATGATGTTTGTGAGCCAGTGTTTGACGCTTGCTACCCGACAGGCTAAAAGTAGCACACTGGATGTGGCTAACAAAGTAGCTGCTGCACCCTTAACCGCGGTTTGTCGTTTTATCTAAGGGGATACTCTTTCTTAATCCACCATCAGAACGACAGCTCACTGGGTACGGATACAAATGTGTTGCGATCCTCCCGTAAAGACACCCAATTGAGGCCTATGGCCGACAAATCGATGGTAGCGAACTGCTAGCAGTTATCGGCGTAGCTTGCGTGCTAGCTACAGTAAATTGGAGATTTCTATCAGCCGAAGCGCCAAAACGCGTCAACTAACTGCTTACGGACGTTTGTGTGAGTCGGTATATGCGTGTCAAGTGTGTACTCGTATCTACCTTTGGTCTGGCTTCTTAAATGGGTTGGTTCCGCCGTCGATTGCCTTTTAGCTGCTGTGTTTTCTTTACAACTTAAGGCGGAAGTTTTTTAGGACTGGGCTGAGCGACATCTTCCGGACCGTTGCTACGTAAACAGACGCCGTCCAATCAGAGGGCGGATGGATATAGCGACTGTGACGTAATATAAAATAGTTACATTTATGTTATTGTTGTGTTTTTGTTGTTGTTGTTGTTGTTGTTGTTGTTGTTGTTATTTTATGGAGGTCTAACAGTTCTTTTAAATAAAAA